ACAGTGATCAATTCTTTCGTCCTGCCGGACAGATTGATTCTGCCATCTGTGTCTATGTAACCTGTATCCCCGGTTCGAAACCAGCTATCTGGACTGAAAGCCTCGCTGGTGGCTGTTTGATTGTTGTAATAACCAGAAAATACAAGCGGGCCTTTGAGTTCCAAGTGGCCTACTTCTCCTGGACACGCAAGAATGCTATCCGTCGCTATGGAGACAATTCGTGCCTCAACGCCAGTAACACATCTGCCTAGAGCAGCAAATTCGTTGTTGTTACAGGTGTCATGTGCAGGAAACTCCAAATTATAGATGCACCCTGCACAAGTCTCAGTCATGCCGAATCCAGGGACGATGACATTTTCAGGTGCGCCGTGTTGGGCCAGCAATCGCGACACTTTTGCACCGGTACTGACAACAACAGCCTCCCCACCAGACACAATGTATCGCAGACATTTCAAGTCAAAGTGAGGTCCATCTTCTCCTCGGGGGGGTTCCAAGTAGCGGCCAAGTTCAGCGAGGAAGAAATTGGGCGCGAATGTTCTAACCACCCGATGTCGACCTATGAGGTCAAGGAACAAGGCTGGGTGAGAAATGATCTCGTCGGATGGGACGTGAACCTGATCGCACCCGACAAACAGTGCATGGAGATGGATTTCGATTAAACTTCCCACATGATCGAGACGAATCCAGTTCAAAAATGAGTGAGCAGTGTCATCAACGCGTAAGGACTGGGTTTTCCCGTGGAGGGAAGCCAAGATCTGATTATGCGTCAAGGACACAGCTTTGGGTAGACCAGTACTTCCAGATGTGAGCATCAACAAAGCAGGATTCCAGCCACCGCGGCCAATGGGTACTCTGGAATTGGTTTCTGTAGTAGCGGTAAAGTCGGCTGGTGGGTCGCTCAAGGATTCTATGGTCACAACGTGTAAAGGAGACTTTTTTGGAAACAGGATTTGGAGGCTTTTTCGAGTGAGACAGATAGGATTATTGAACAGCTCGCTCAAGTGACACAGATGCCTTATCCGGTGATCTTCACTTCGAGGTAGAGCAGTGGACATTGCAGGGATGTAGCCGGCATATAAGGTAGACCATAACCATATGATACTGTCCAGATGATCTTCGAAGTGAAGTAGTATGACAGAAGACTTCGCGTCGCACTGCAGCCGTCGCAGTTTTATAGCATTAGACGTAGCCAATGAGTCGAGCTCTGTGTAACTCAACCTCGTGGAGGAGCCGATTCCAGAAAGGCCAGGAGAATAAGCACAGACACCACGAAGCCCCTGATTATCTGCTACTTTGCGGAGAATGTCTGTTAAGGAGCTCAAAGTCATTGTGTAAGAAAAATATGGTGAATAACGAAGTCGGGGCTCGAATAAAACTAAAGAGATATGACAAGGTTTCGTGCCAGAATTGAGATGAAAAGAAGGGTCCGATGCCATTATCTGCGAGTTCTGGAGGCATGCATCGAGATGTGCTATTTTATACTTCTCAAGACACAGGCTAATATCAAGAAAGAACATTCTCTAATTTTAGCTTGCTTGCGAATGGACCGCATGGAAGATGGCATCGCTGGAACTGGACCGCGGTCTGAAAAGAAGAGCAAGCAGGGTTTTCCTGGCGAGTATGCAACGATCTGCCTTTCATGCTGCTTGACCTTGTGTGGCCAAAGTATCGCATCGGAGAACCTACCCAGGAAGGAGATTACGCACATCATCAGATCAATCTCTGTATGACTAGAGAGCAGCGTCACTGGTCCACTGGATGAGGTTACATTTTCTGTATTACCTCAGCGTTGGCAAATGCCGAGATGAGAAATGATATCAGGGGCAGGTGCGCTTTTCTTGTCTCCTATTTGGTTTTATTCACATCTTCCTCCGTACTTGTTCCCAGTCCGGATGTGGGACAACGGATTGCATCAGCGAGGGACGATCGTTTATCTATCCATTGATACTATACGAAGCATTGGCACTCCTTTCCTGATATGACCAGTGCTATGTCATAGTTGCATGGTTTCGGTACGGTCACTCGGTGATGGTCGGAGTCAGACTCGTGAGAGAATACGATGAGATGATAATCAATGCAAGGGATTGTGCCCATTCCACATGACCCAGATACCGGTGACTTGGGTTAAACATGAGACACTGATTCTTGAAGCTATTTATGAGGCCTTGATACATTGATGTGTAGATGGGTTTGCGGGCACCAGTCAGCAAAGAAACCAAAACTTGATCCTGCTAGCTCTATCGGGCTGCATCATTCATTTCACAGGTAGCCAGAAACATGTATCGGCCCTCAGAAGAGGCAAGAAGTATTTTCGATCTTCTTCGTCAGAAACCGGAACGCCTCGGTCTTCCAGTCGATATTCTTACTAGCCAAGTACAATTTCATTCTGATTCAGATACGATTTACTATCCGATCCCTTTCAAGGTCACCGAGACCCTGGCCGCTCTCAAGGGGATAGAAGGGGCCCTAACAGCTTTGTTAGCGGATCTAAAATCAGGGACTAAGCCATGTGAACGAAAGACTACAATCAATCTTGAAAGGGCAACGCTTTTTGGCTTTCAAGCACTGATCACCAAGATCAATGGATACTCTTGGTCTGACCCCGAGGTCAAACGGTACATGAAAAGTGAGACAAGCTGTGCTCTTTTCCATGGTGCAGGGAGCGGAGACTGACAATATGAAGATACGGATATTCATGCTGCACAATCGAATCCGTACCGGCGCATGGCCACCAGTATGTATCGGACCCAGAATGATAACGAGTTCTTCCATCTTCATGGCTCTTTGAACCCCACTGCTACTCTGAATATGATCGGCCTAGACAGCCACTGCGCGGATCTCACTAACTACGATGAGATCATAAACACTATTCAAAGCCAGGTTCAGAAATTCTCTGCAGCTGAGCTAGAGACCCTCAATGAGACTCGTCGGCAAGCAGGGGTAACGGTGTATGAGTATGAGGAATTCATAAACACCCCTCATGTAAGATGTTCCTTGCAGCGCACACGGACAGAAAGCCAAGATATACTCACATTACCGGGCAGGGTGGAACGAACATTCAGGAACCATGGTGGAAGGTCATGCGCCTGCCAGGGGAGACACCTCCAGCCGTGTTCAACCCTGGTGGAAGTCCGAGGATACTCGAAGGCGTCAAGGTCTTGGAGCTTTGTTGTGTCATTGCAGGGCCCATCATCGGTCGTACATTAGCCGAATATGGAGCGGATGTCTTGAAGATTACATCGCCAACGGTTCCTGACGTACCATTCTTTCAGGTCGACAATAACATGGGCAAGCGTGCTGTGGAATTAGATCTCAAAACTGACGAGGCCCGCCGCCAGTTCGAAGCCCTTCTCGCCGATGCTGACGTGGTCATTGATGGTTACCGCCCTGGCGCGCTTCGAAAACTTGGATACAATCCAGAGAGTATGGCTTCTATGGCAAGAAAGCGTGGGAAAGGCATTGTCTACGTAGACGAAACCTGCTTTGGGCATGAAGGCGAGTGGTGCCATCGCCCAGGATGGCAACAGATAGCGGATTGCGTATGTTACACACAAAATAAGCTGTGCAGGGACATTCTGAAGTACTGACCTGCAGATAGCTTACCGGGTTTGCAAGGTGTCATGGGAGGTTCCTCGGCCGTGTGGAACCCATGGTATCCCCATTGCCTATAGCAGACTCCGGCGCCGGTTGCATGGGCGCTATCGCTGCCTTGACTGGTCTTTACAATCGGGCTCAATACGGTGGCTCGTATATTGGTCAGGTTTCCTTGATGCAGTTCAACTTGCTGCTCTTCGCAGCCGGAAAGTATCCTGAATCGGTGGAGTCACAGTTGCAGAATTCTTTTGCTCCTGCATTCTCCAAAATACGTTTCTGCGATAGCGTCGGCCGCAGTTCTGTCTTAGCATTAGAGGTTATGAGGGAACGATTTCCATACCTCTTTGTGGAGCCATCTCTTGAAGATCGCCAGAAGAATCTGACAGAGGTGTGGTACTCTCATCACTACGGTGCGGAGGTGGAGGTTGTACGACCTGTAGCTGAGATTGAGGGGGTTGTGAACGATTTCGCTCGTGCAACTAGACCAAACGGTGCAGATGCATCTCCATCCTGGGATTTCCCTGAAGAACAGAGTTCACGGAAGCTTTAGGCTTCGACAAGTCTGCAGGTAAGACCGAATGCAACATCGGACAGAACAGGGTGTCGGATCCTGGGTTTTCCCAGCTAGATTACAGGGAAGTCTACGAATGAAGTAAGCAGAGATGGGCTTTAAAGAACGTCTTATTGATTCTATTGGTTTGGTTTCGGATTATAGTTATAACTCGCATATGTCCGCCCACCCTGTTCTGTGTTAGTATGCTGATGTCCCATCCATGCATTTTCCCAACTCCCATTCTACCGAGATATTTCATTACTGCGCGATGTAGACATCAATATTTTCTTCACATGCAGCCCCACTATAATAGTAGGTTACTTACAAACCCAGTATCAAGCAGGTCACAGAGTAGCAAAACTGCAGGTGCGTTGGTCTCGCCACGCCCATCCTGAGTCGGTCACGCACATCGGTTCATATTCCAGCTAGTCATAATTGCGCTTTATGGATGCCTGGCGACAAGAAGGTAATAATTGAGGTCATCACGCTAATAAATCAACCTTGTGATAATCCTGACCTTGGTTTTGCCTCGGAATGTAAGCCCTTACTGCCCCTTTGCAGGAATTAGTAGCATATGCACCGTGATACTTCATCTCTATCTTACGGAATATAGTTTCCGTGGCCAATAGAAGATAATAGGGTACATATAGGTGTTGACCTTTGCAAATATGGGGCTTTTTCCTGTTCTCATATCACATACATCCTTCGTCACAAATAGAATATACCCCCCAGAGTTTCTGACGCTCCGCATCACCTCTTCAAAAGACTCATAGGCCGTTCAGAACATTGCACTGTCGCGTAATAGCAACGTTCTTTAAGCTCAGACTAAAAGATCCCCGGTCATTGAGCGAGCATGGATGCGCAAAGCAGTACCAAGACTTTCAATCCTCCAGCGCCAAGAGTGCCCTCTGACAGGCTGGATGTTTGGTATATCCATCATCCACGTCCTTGCAACATGCAATATGAAAGACTAATCAAGCATCTACAGGTCAATTGTCAACGAAGCAGCAGCCGTATCTCCAATCCAACCAATCGTGAACCTAGGACAAGGCTTCTTGTGAGCCTATTCCTTCTGTTCGCGTGGCTGATCATATACTTAATTACCTACCAAGTGGCTTTAATCCGCCTCAATTTGCTATAGATGCAGCCAAGGAAGCCCTCAATAGGGTCGATTGCAATCAGTGCGCTCCAACGAAGGTAGGATTCTAGCAATAACTTCAATTTATAGATCTGATCCTTACTGAGAGTACAACAGGGCCGCCCAAGTCTGAGAAAGGCCATTGCGTCTGCTTATTCGAAACTTCTCGAGAGGCCAATTGACGAGGGAAGCGAGGTCGTCATCACTTCGGGTGCGAATGAAGGTAAGCCTATAGATAAGTTACTTCTGGCTGGTCGCGATTCAACTAATATGCAGGCATGCTGTGTGCATTACTGGCCTTCATTTCTCCCGGTGATGAAGTCGTTACATTCGAACCGTTCTTTGACCAGTAGGTGTTCCCCAACCAAATCATTAGATCTAGACATCTAAGTATCAGCCATCATGCGATAGATATAGAAGTGGAATTGAACTTGCCGGTGGTATCCCTCGCTACGTGCCTCTTCACCCTCCAGAGGACAGCAACAGGGCTATATCAAGTGCCTCTGAATGGACAGTTGACTTTGAAGAGCTCGAGAAAGCCATAAACAAAAACACGAAGATGATTGTATGAGCCATATCCCTCTTGTCTGTTCTATATTCCTTCCATATACTTACTAGCCAAACCCAGATCCTCAACACACCGTATGCACAAACCCGTTCACTTACACCTCACCAAGCCAACAAACTAACCACCGCGCTACAGTCACAATCCTGTCGGAAAAGTCTTCACAGAACCAGAACTTCAGCGCATCGGCGACATCTGCTTGAAGCATGACCTTCTTATTCTCTCCGACGAGGTCTACGACCACCTTTATTATGTCCCCTTCACGCGAATCGCAACCCTCTCCCCTGATCTCTACGATCACACACTAACCGTTGCATCCGCCGGCAAAGCCTTCCACGCCACAGGCTGGCGAATCGGCTACCTGATCGGTCCCCAGCCGCTCATCAAGAATGTTTCCGCGATACACACTCGCATTTGCTATAGTAGTGTATCTCCGCTACAAGAAGCAGTGGCGGTTGCCTTTGAAAAGGCGGACGAAATTGGCTTCTGGGGGCATAGTCAGCAGGAAATGAAGGGTAAGATGAGGTTGTTCTGTGAGGTTTTTGAAGCTCTAGAATTACCCGTTAGTGTTTCCCCTTCTTCCACTCAGAGATTAAGGCAAAGCCTGCATACTAACAAGAGTTCCTAGTACACCGAACCCGAAGGCGGATACTTCGTCCTGGTGAACTTATCTCGGGTTCAAATTCCCAGCGATTACTCCTTTCCGGAACATATCGAACAACGAAGAAGGAATTTCAAGCTTTGCTGGTTCTTGATCCAGGAGATCGGGGTGGCTGCTATCCCGCCGTCCGAATTCTATAGTGATGATCATGCGCATATAGGTGAGGATTTTCTTCGGTTTGCGTTTTGCAAGGAAGATGAGGTGTTGGAAATGGGCAAGCAGCGGTTACTTAAATTGAAGAGGTATATTGTTTGATGTAGATGGCGATTGAGCTTTTCAGTGATGCTGTCCATAGAGTTTGTGCTCAATGCTTGGTTCTGATTTACTGAGAAATTTGCTGCCAGAATAATATCTTCTCTATAGTTTTATTTGGTTTTATTTACCTCCTGATGCACTTCGTAGTGACAGGTATGATTAGAGGTTATACTAGTTGGAGGACAACAAGATGCTGGCATGTAGAGTCTAAATTAAATGGAATCGAGTCTAATCGAATGTCCACTCACTTACCTTTCACTTATCATTAACAACATATCAAGTATCAGAACTTATTGTCTGTTCTGATTCTGCTTTTTCTTTTTTCCCCCAGCTCTTATTCCAACAATAAATAGTTCACATAATGTTTTCTCATATCGCTTAGCATTGCGCCCATCAGTCTAATCAAGGATACTATGGCAAAATTATTACAGAGAAATTATATTTGCAGGTAGTCCACCTAAGAATAGACAACAGTAGTAATATTAGAAGATAAAACGGGTATTGTCAAGAGAAAGACCGATCAGGGCGGTGATTCGCTAAACCTGGTTCAACTTCAACATATTTTTTTTTCTTGCATAAGTAGGACGCTTCGGACATCCAGTCTGCTTTGATTATTTGAGCACAGAATCCAAATTTGTGTACATGTCATTAGGTGTGGCATGGGAAAGTATTCTCAGTCATAAAGTGGTAAGGTCATAATGAATTTTTGCAGTGTTAGATTGTTGTTGGGTAGGCACTGAGATATATTTTTTAATGGTACGGATGGGTTTTATATAGTAGTACTAAACAAGAAACCGCTCGTAATAGTAGGTTGGAAATAGTACCAGTAGGTTATCATGATGATCGCATGCATTATGTGTGTGCTGGTTTTATTATACTTTCGTATGATGGTTTGGAATGTTTTATGCTTTCGAAAAATCAGGGAATGCGGGTTACCCTTCATCGGTAGGTTCGGTGCACATGGTCGGAGCTCTTCTAAATAATCAATAAATTCCTTGAGCCAAAATATTACATGCCGATTGTTGTCACTGATCTACTAGTTGGTTAATAGGACACCCTTTAGGACTCAGCAGGTTGTACAAATGGCCGATTTGCTTTTTCATATCGTGTACCTCTTGCGCTATCGCCACTGCACTGTAGATCTTGTAGATCGATGCTGATACAGGCATGTCTTGCATACTTGTTTCACTCTCCTGCTGCTAATAGTAATCTTATCAACATGCTATCTCTCGGGAACACAGTCACCGATGCAAGGGAATTCTCCGTCTGGAAGGAGATAGGCTATTGCTCCAATGATCGCCGAAACTAGTGGTATGCTGTGTTCGTAACAGCATGGCGACTGACGCTGCTGGTGCTGCTGGTTAGGTTCCAGCAAGTCCAGCTCTCTGGGTCAGTCACTCTTGTCTCTTCAGACATCAGGATGGAACCAACAAAGGAAGGTGATGTTTGCACCGTGGTTCAGGCAGCCCCGAGTGATAACGAGAAAAGTGATGATACCCAGACGCTTGTCGACAGCGAAGACTCGTCATCTTTTCCGGAAGGAGGATGGCGAGCTTGGTTAGTAGTCTTGGGCGCATGGTGCGCCATCTTCCCAACGATGGGGATAATGAATCTGTACGGGTTGTTGGAAGACTGGCTGGCAGAACACCAGCTACATGGATATTCAAAAGCATCAATCTCGTGGATATTCAGCTTGTGGCTATTTTTCTTTTATCTTGGTGGCATCCAGATCGGTATGCATCGCTTCCATTCCGACGCTCAAACATCTACTGACGGGATCCTATAGGGCCTATATTTGATGCGCATGGTGTCAGGTACCTCCTCGTACCTGGCTGCATTGGCATGACCTTGTCGATGATGTTCCTCAGCGTCTCCCACGGTACGGTTAAATATCTCCAGCGCCGGACTAATTGCTGACGTTTGCCTGGAAGCATACTACCAATTCATTTTGGGATTTAGCATCCTAGGTGGGCTCTCCGCGTCAGCAGTGTACACACCCAGTGCTGCGTGCATCACGCACTGGTTCCTCAAAAGACGTGGTCTGGCGACCGGGATCGCAACGACAGGGGGTGGCATTGGAGGAATCATCTTCACCAATGTGTTCGGAATCCTGAGCAATAAGATTGGATTCCCCTGGACTATTCGCATCCTGGGATTTATATTCCTTGCTAGCTTAATGGTCAGCCTGCTTACTCTTGAAGCACGTCTCCCACCTAGTCCATCGGCAGGGAGCAAGATCGACATTCGCGCCCTCAAGGAGCCCGTCTTTACTATGACTTCGATCGCCGTGATTTTCGCAGAAATCGGCCTGATAGTCCTAGTCACTTATTATCCGTCCTATGCACAATCACACGGCATCACGGGCGCCCTCTCCTACCAACTCATGACGATCATGAGCGCAACTTCTATCTTCGGCCGCGTCATTCCGGGAGTCTTGGCGGATATATGGGGCCGCTTCAACGTTATGTTTGGAACCTGTGCTATATGTACTATTCTGTCCTTTGGGCTGTGGTTTACAGCAGGCACCGACAAGGCATGCATTCTGGCTTTCGCAGCATTGATCGGATTCTGGAGCGGACCAGCGATAAGTCTGACACCCGTCTGCGTGGCTCAAATCTCCAAAACTGAGAGCTATGGCAAACGATTCGGAACAACAATCGCAATGATGGCGTTCGCCTTGTTAGTTGCCATTCCTGTGGCTGGTGAGATCTTGAAGGGGCCTAATCGGGGGAAAGTAGAGACGGAGTATTCTGGCTTGATTGGGTTCTGTGGCGCGGCGTATGCTGGAGCTTGCCTGTTTCTGTTTCTGGCCAAAGGAGCGAGTGTTGGATGGCGGGTGACCAAAGTATTTTAAGAAGTTGGTAGAGTTTGATCCAAGTTAAGGGTAGATAGATTAGAGAGTTATAGAATAGATAGACTAGATATAGAGCAGTGGAAGATGAAGCAGCATCCGGCCGGCTTCTCGATCGGGCAAGACGCACGGACCCGAACACGCGCCGCTTTGGACTCTGGATTCTCGCAACAATCCGACGGAGCTTCATTCTCCAATACCTACCACATTGCTTATTGCCTTTCCGGTTATCCCTCTCTGTTTGCAGGCCTGTATACGATTTTTCAATTTAGCACTGCCAGCAAGATATCCGACCGCCGTCTGCGAGAGTGTCTTGCCTGCTGAGGGACGCCGCGGTCTGTTTACGCTCCCCGGACGCCGTCGCCCCTCCAACCCGCCTCATGCCTTTCTGTTCATGCGACCGTTGTGACAGCCCCTCGCTCTTGAATCGCACTCAATCTCGTCTCCCACGTGCTTTATTTGATCATGGAGAAGTTTCTGCGCTCCTGGCGTCAGGATGCGCTGAACCGGGGCCAGCATGATGCGGCCATCTACATCGGCGATAAAGTGCTCGCGCTGACCAGTGAGTGACTGACCAACCCAGCATCACCCCGATCAGTGCTAAGTCTATTACTTCTCTAGACAGCGACTCCGATGCCTTTTGGCTTGCACAAGTACACTTTTCGAACAACAACTACGCCCGTGCTTTGGCCCTCCTGTCGCGGAAAGACCTGATCTCGAGAAGTACGGCCTGTCGCTATCTGGCCGCGCACTGCCACATCAAGCAGAATCAGTTCGATCAAGCACTTGCAGTCCTGGGCGACCACAATCCTACACACCTTATACGCAGCAGCAATAGTCGCCGCAAAATCCAACACCTTAACGGTCAGAGCCATGTTACCCTGCGGAACGGAAAGACAACAGCGTCGCGCATCGATCGGGGCGAAGAGCGAGAGCGGGAGGATGCAAGTAACGTTCGGTTTGAGGCGGCGATGTGTTACTTACGGGGACTTTGCTTTGCGAAACAAAATGCGTTCGACCGGGCTCGCGACTGCTACAAAGACGCCGTACGCATTGATGTGCAGTGCTTCGAGGCTTTTGACCAGCTTATGAAGAACTCCCTCATGTCTCCCGCAGAAGAGCTAGAATTCCTCGAGTCGCTTGATTTCGACTCTGTCTCGAGTCCCGACCACTCAGTCGCGCAGGAGGCCGCCCATTTCACCAAGATGCTTTACACCACCCGATTGTCGAAATATTCCTCGCCGACAATCCTCTCCGACGCTACCGAAACACTATCAACTCACTACAACCTAGCGGAGAATGCGGATATTCTGCTTTCCCGCGCAGAAGCTCTATATACGCAATGCCGTTTTGCCGAAGCTTTAGAACTTACTTCGTCAGTTCTGTCCACATCTCAGTCTGCCGCATCATCGCAAATGACGCCTGCAATTCATATTTCCGCTCAAAGCCACCTGGGACATCCGCCGGCCGTATACCCCTTGCATTTGGCTTGCTTGTATGAGACGGGCGCCACAAACGCCCTGTTCCTTTTGTCCCATACGCTTGCCGACCACGCTCCCGAGGAGTCTTATACATATCTCGCAATCGGTGTTTACTACCTATCTGTCTCTAAAATTGCGGAAGCTCGACGCTACTTCTCCAAAGCGTCTCTTTTGGACCCGCATTCTGCGCCAGCATGGATTGGCTTCGCCCATACCTTCGCTGCCGAAGGGGAGCACGATCAAGCCATTGCAGCGTATAGCACTGCAGCTCGGCTTTTCCAGGGCAGTCATCTACCACAGCTCTTCTTGGGAATGCAACACCTTGCGCTGAACAACATGTCCTTGGCCCATGAGTATCTGTCGGCCGCCTATGCCATGTCGACTGGGGCTGCGTCCGGCTCGGCTCCTTCGATAAGGGCGAACCCGTCGGAACTTACATCTTTAGGCGGTGACCCACTCGTCCTTAATGAGCTTGGTGTAGTTTTGTATCACCAGAATCACCTTGAGGGCGCTGTCGAGTTGTTCCGTCAGTCCCTCACACTGGCCACATCGCTTCAATGTGAACCTGGGGCCTGGGTCGCCACGAGAGCCAATCTCGGACACGCGCTGCGCCGTATTGGTCAATTCCAAGAGTCACTGGCCGAGTTTGACGAGTGTCTTCGCATTGG